AAAGGTCTCAGGCCCAAATGATTCTCCCCAATAATAAAGGCCCGTTGTAATTACTGAAATTACCAGAATACCCTTTTGAGGACTCATTTTTGCACTTTAAGGACATTTACTCGGTAATCTTCATGAGATGGCCCTATCAGTTTATAATTGCTTTAAGATCACCCCTCAGAAGTAAATATTTGTTTTGTGTCCAGACTGCATTTGTTCATCTAGACCACCATTTCAAAATTTTTAAATACCAATGCCAGAGAGCAAATTTTGCCAATTAGATCAATAAATCATGTCTTAAATATGAACTACACAACTGTTCAAAAATTTGCCCATTGGCCACAAAGTAGCTAATTTTGCTATATCAACTTGGCACATACAGTATATGAAACAAATATGGACTACAAAACTTTTTCCCAGAGACCATAAAGTAGCTGATTTTCCTATATTAACTATAACCTTGTAATGTCGCTATACGAACTATAAACCAGAGGCCATATCATGACTATAAACCTGTTCAATAGCATCCACCAAGCGTCTGTAACGTCAAGCAGAATGACAAAAACACCAGAGAATAGGACAAAGACCATGCTTTTTCTACATGCTTGCCATTTTTCGTCAATGCCATCTTCTTGAGCTCCCCCGGATGAACATCCCGAGTTCTTCCTCTCGCTTTTCATTTTTAAGCAGTCAAATTACTCCAACTGAGCGACTAGTTTTACTGCCTCCTTCAAAAAAACACAAGACAAATGCATAAACAATTTAGCATTGAACAGACAATACTAAGGTAGATCCGAATAAATTCGCGCTTTTCACTGAGTGTTTAGATTTCCCAACCAACCTTTTCCGTGATTTCCTTCTTGACTTCTTGTTGCAGATTTCAATCAGAATCTCCTCAATGTCTATAGAATCATCGACATTCGTTTTCAACAGATTACAGTTATCCAAAAACCTGACTTGATGAACAACACTTGCGGTAAGAGAAGTATCATCTTGTACCTTTTTTTTTACATAATCCATTACCACAAGCCCTGCAAAATACCATGCTTGTTTCTTTAGGTTCAAAGATGGAAAAAGCTTCACAGTACTATCCTGATGTCCAATAGACAATAACAATATCCCGTAAATTAGAAGAGAACAATACAAGAACTCACCGAGAGCTAGGAGGTTCTTAAGATCAAATTTCTCAGCTAGTTCTTCATAACCACTTATTCTGGCACGTTGAATAGCTAGCTTCTTTATGCTGGTGAGCAAATCCTGCAAAACAAGTTCAGTGGAGATCGAAAATCGTTATTTCATCGATCGAAAAGAACGGGTATTTATAGCTTCCTATAAGCAATTACCAGTTCAGATTCTGAGAGAGAGCAAAACCAAGTGATATCTTCAGTACTATTGTTCTTCAAGATTTCACTTAGTTCCTCCATCTTGCCATTTAACACCTCCTAAGATAACGATATGTTTCCAGGACTCAGAGATTAGGCATAAACCCATTTTCCTCTAATGAAGAAAATAGCAAAATCCTAAACCCATAAGATCAAGCGATACTAAATCAATGGCAAAAGCGGAAAGTTAAATCCTAAAGCTAACAAGAGGTAAACATATTCCAATCATACATACTTTCTCTCTAACAAAGACTTGGATTATCTTAAATCGATTGCGTTTCTCACCTCGACGAAGAAGAGCGCGATGGAGATCGTGACGGAGACAGAGCGAACGAATGTGAAAGGACAATAATTTTTCGCCGGAAGACTCTAATTTGGGATATGTCTCGTCGGGAAATTAATTGTGGAAGAGGTCTCAGTTCAGAAAAATAAATGTTATATCAAATAGTTATTTAAGGCTAATTTAATCACTAAGGATCCGTGGCGCAATGGTAGCGCGTCTGACTCCAGATCAGAAGGTTGCGTGTTCGATTCACGTCGGGTTCAAATCTCCCGAATCTAGATCCTTTCATTTTTTTAACCTTGGAACCTTTTTGTATTTTGGGTGTCTGTATTGAAATATAAAATTAATAAAATTTGAGTAAAGAGAGAAGATAGTGGATATTTTTGGAGAGAGGATGTCTATAGGAAGACATTTTGATGGGTGTGTT